CCCCGCGCAGCCAAAGCGGGGGTGGGGAATGGAGCGCCCCCCCCCACCGCCTTCCCTTCCGGTTCCCATTCGACACACCTCCAGCACACAATTTGCAAAAAAAGAGAGAGAAAAATCTTAACCCCACCACTCGATGTGTTGTTTTAGCCATACTATAAGGGCCGTATATAATTATTTTTCAAGTCTTTTTATTCGAATACAACCAGGAAATGTTATTTATTTATTTATTGTCATTGTAAGTATATACACAGTATACCTAATACAAGGAAATTCACAGACACCCAGAGACCAGACACATGCACACACATAAAATTCCCCAAACACTCCCCACCCACTAATAGTTCCCCACTAATAACACAAACATCTACACCGCAGGCCAAGTAACACAGTCCAACTAATTATTCACTACTGGTGGTCTTTAAGCTCATTATTAAGTGCAATTATAGCTCTGGGATAAAAACTATAAATAAAAATGTGCATGCACTATTTAAAAACTAGGGAGGTGGAGGGTATCAGAAAAAAAAACATTTTCTATAAGCTAAAGTGGCAAGTATTTATTGTGATCTGCCTTGACCCTTGAACAGTAGCAGGCCACCTGGCTCTGCTAAACCTAAATGGGACGGAACCCTAAATATTGTCGTTGCTGATGCCTGTCTTTGTCCAACTCTGTCACGTCCAAATGCCCACAGTGAAATACTGTAGGTCAACTGCACCAGGTTTGTACACGAAAATCGTCCCAGAGCTGCGATACAAGGAGATCTGCAAGCGGGATCTGAAGGCCTTAGGAATGGACCTCAAGAGATGGGAAACCTTGACATCTGAGAGCTCAGCCTGGAGGCAGGTGGTGCATCACGGCCTCTCCCAATTTGAAGAGACCCTTGCCCAGCAGGCCGAGGCAAAGAGGAAGTCACAAAAGCAGCAAAATCAGGGAGCTGGACGGGGGACAGATTGTATATGTCTTCAATGTGGAAGGGACGGTCACTCTCGAATTGGCCTCCTCAGCCACACCAGACGCTGTTCCAAGCCCTCCATACAGAGCACACTACCATAGTCTTTCGAGACTGAAGGATGCCTAACTAATGGTGCAAGTCAAAGGAAAACAAACGGGATCCTCAAGGTGTGGGATATTCAAGCTGCTACTGTATAAGGAAATCTGAAGCATCTGGAGAGATCAGGGACAGAAAAAGGACTGGAATGTCTCAAAATCTGATGAAAAATTTCTCAGAGTTTCCCCTTGGAGAGACTGGAAGGATGTCCAGCAAGGATGTGGCTCAGCATCTGGGCAGCATCTGTCATGTAATCACTGGGCCTAGAAGGGAGCCATGATGGGAGGGTGATTTGGCAAGGACCCCATGTAAAAACCACATCCAACCTCAAGGATCCGCTCTTGATTTCATGGATCCGACTTTTACTCAGACCTGGCTCAGGTTTTGGACCTGGAACTCTCAGCGAATGGAAATCCTAGATGTGGGAACCATCATTAATTATAGTCATTTTATCTGTTACATTTTATATATCACCTTCTCTCCAACCAGCGCAATACAGTATATAGCATGCCTAGCCGTCTCCCTCCATTCCTTTAATCTCACAACAACCCTCCGAGGAAGGCCAGGCCATGAGAACGCAACAGGATCAAGGAGATCAATCTGTTTCCCTGCCCTCCTGAGTCTCCATCCAGCATTTTGACCACAATAAACCGGCTTTTTTCATGAAATGGTGATTTTTTTCAGGCCCCGCCAATCAGTCATGCTCAAAAGCAGCCTTGTGTTTTTTCATTGCCTTGAACATCCTAGACCAATTGGGCTGAAAAATCGAACTCGGAAATGCCCTCTTAAAAATATTAGGGTGCACGGCTCTATCCTTTTCCTATCTCTGCGGAGCTCTCCGCCCTCCAGCATCCCTTGTAGGGATGACGGGGCAACCAGCCAATTGAGACTTGAGGAGTGACGAAGGGGCGGGACTTATAGGAGGGCCCCGCCCACTCTCCCATCCAATCCGCTGCAGGGTGATTCCCTCCAAGCCCCGCCTTCGGGGCTGCCCCGTTGGACGCACGTGGCTCCGACTTCCGGTCCCTGAAAGCTCGCTTCTGGGGTCTAATAAGGAGAGGCGTCCCAAGTCGCTAGTCCGCATGGCTCCGGCCCAGGCCTCCGGGCGGAGGAGGAAGAGGCACCGGCGGTGTAAAGATCCGGATCGGGACGAGCAGCAGGTGCTTTAGCGTGACCCTGGCGGTTACTGGGGCTCAAGTTTCCGTACGTCTTTGCCGGGGAGCATGGGCTTTGTAGTCCGCCAGCGTTACAGGGAGGGGAGGTCTCCTCCACCACCACCGCCCCGCTGTGTCCCCCTAAAAAAGTGCCCTCTCTCTCTCATCTGGAGATCTAACGGGTGGGGGAGACTCTGGGTTCCCCGGGGGGGGGGTTGTAGCTCACAGTTCCCATCATCCCCCCCTGCAGCGTAGCCAGCGGTCAGGGCTAGTGGGAGGAGCAGCCAGAGTTAGGATCCTTGGGGCTGCTTTTATTGACCGTTTCTTAGAGTGGTATTTGTAGTTTTCCTTTCCACTATTTGTATAGTTGTTGTTTTTTTAGCTGCGGACGCTGTCTTTTAATGATGTCAAACCACCTCGGTGGAGGGGGGGCCTTTTTCAGGAGAAAGGTGGGGTGACCTGAATTTAAAAAATAATCAGTCCCATTAATCCCACGTAAGTGAGAGGGAGCGAGAAGTGAGGTGGCTTCATGCTGAAGGGTGGGGAAATTTCCGATCTTTTCTCTGTGTGGAATGACCCTAATAGGGCATTCGAGGTACGTGGGATATTTAAGGAGTGTTCGTGCTAGTTCCACTCCCCCAGTCAGTTTCCATGGCTGAGTGGGGATTTGAACCCTGTTCTCCAGAGTCCTAGCCTGTCAGTTTATCCACCAAACTGCACTCTGAATCTCAGCTGGGCTGTTAACTCCTGTCAGTTCTGGAGAAGGTAGCCAAGGGCAAATCAGCTCCTTAATCCACCTGTTCCTTCCCCCAGCCGTGTCCCATAAAAGGTGCAACTCTGTTTACGGGAATCAACGCTGGCTGGAGAATTTGGAGGAGTGGTAGTCCCCAAAAAAAGCAAAGTTTTTGTGCTGTGGGTCTAATGGAATGGAATACTTCTGGATGGCCAAAGGTTCCCCACCCCCTGGACCAACACGTAGAGGGGGGGGGCAATGTGTGGTGTCATCGTTAAGAGTGTTGGTCTGAGATTCCAGGAAGATGGGTTTTAGGTCCTTCCTTGATCGCGAAGCTCCTTGGGTGACCTTGGGCTATTTGTTCTCTTTCTCTCTCTTGCTTGTGAAGATTGGCCTCCCTTCTAAAGTTATGGGGATGAAATGGGGAAGGAGGGGGGGCCACCTGCAGCCGCTGGAGGGAAACAGGATGGGAAGATAATGAGTAGAAAAAAAAATACATAAAACTCTTGCTTCCGTCTTTCATCTTCTTCAAAGCATTATGACTACGAGATGACCGTGTCAGCTTTTCCCACCTCCGAGGCGGCTTCTGATGTTGAACCCGACACGCAAGAGATGGTTCGAGCCCAGAACAAGAAAAAGAAGAAATCTGGAGGCTTTCAGTCCATGGGTGAGTAAACTTTTAGAAACAGAAGAGAACAGAACAGTTCTTTCAGGATCCAAGAGCCTCCTGGCATCTCCTATTTTATTTTCCCCATAATACCCTGTTTTATGTAGGATCCACAGTATTTTTTGGGGGAAAGAATATGGCAGCTCTTGGTTGTGGCTGTCTTTCTTCTCTAAGGACCTGTCTAGAAACAGAGTTAGGGCCAAACCAAAACGTCAGCCATCAGAGCCAGGCTTGCTTCAAAGGGGAGGATAGGAGGGGAGACAGCCAGAGATGGGTAAGGAAGGCCTCGTCCCTGGGTGGGTGCCCGACACTGCTTGTTGTATCCCTGTTGTGTCATCTGGCCTGATATTCGAGGGAGCGATGAAGGATGAGAACCACTATGGTGTGTAGCGGATAAAGAGATGCCCTGAGATTTGGGAGGTAGAGGCATTGCCCCCTCCAAGCCATGAAGTTCAGTTGGTGACTCTGAACCTGCCTCATGGCACAGTGGTTAAACTGCAGGAATGCTGCCAAAACTCTGCTCACAACCCAGGTTCAATCCCAGGTAGCTGGCTCGAGGTTCACTCAGCCTTCCATCCTTCC